CCAGACGCTGCCACTCACTTACCCCTCCTCATCCATGCCCTAACACTGGAATATATTTCCTAGTGAAACTACATTATCCTGTTGCCTGCCCCCAACACGATTTCTTGCACATTCTTTTAACTTGTCCCTGACATCACCCTCCAGACAGATGGAGAGATGGAGATGGGACTGGGACCAACTTTGGAACCCCCTCAGGAAGTGTCCCTGCTCCTGTAGGGCACTAATTGTACCTTTTTAATTGGGGCAGGGATCCTTCCTGCAACTGGGACTGATGTAGCGGGCCCTGCTACTGCCTCTCAATTCTATCAAAAACTCTCAAAACTAAGCATAGACAGCATTTCCTCCCTCCAGCGACAGGTCACCTCACTCCCGACAGTCGCTGTACAGAACCATCAGGCCCTTTACTTCCTTACAGCTGAGAAGGAAGGCGCCTCCTTGTGTGGGGCCTGCCCACACTCTGCCTCACTAGCACCAGACGCTGCCACTCACTTACCCGTCCTCATCCATGCCCTAACACTGGAATATATTTCCTTGTGAAACTACATTATCCTGTTGCCTGCCCCCGTAACACGATTTCTTGCACATTCTTTTAACTTGTCCCTGACATCACCCTCCAGACAGATGGAGAGATGGAGATGGGACTGGGACCAACTTCAGAACCCCCTCAGGAAGTGTCCCTGCTCCTGTAGGGCACTAATTGTACCTTTTTAATTGGGGCAGGGATCCTTCCTGCAACTGGGTCTGATGTAGCGGGCCCTGCTACTGCCTCTCAATTCTATCAAAAACTCTCAGAACTAAGCATAGACAGCATTTCCTCCCTCCAGCGACAGGTCACCTCACTCCCGACAGTCGCTTTACAGAACCATCAGGCCCTTTACTTCCTTACAGCTGAGAAGGAAGGCGCCCGCCTCTTCTTGGGGAGCTATGCTGTTATTATGTGAGTCTGGGGTCATCCAAGACAACTTCAGCCATTTCACTGAACCCTTGGATACCCTGGCTCATGCGCCTACTAGGATCCCTAACTGTGCCTCATCCTACTTTTAGGTCCCTGTCTCTTTTGATGTTTCTCTAATTTCTTGCAGGAATGTATGCAGGCTTTCACCAACCAAAAGGTCGCCAAATTGTTCCTGCGAGGAGGACATCAGCCCCTCAGAATCAGCGACCCTTCCCCGGAGGAATACAGCCTCCTCACATGAAACCAGTACCCCGCCACCTAATTGTTTTACTCGCCAACATTAATCTTTTATTTTTTTCATATCTTCACCCATCTCCAGCAGGAAGTAGCTTCAGAAGAATGAGACCTTCGCCCCTTTTCCCTTTTTCTTATACTTAAAAGGCAGGAATGATGGATTTTGGATGTGGCCAATGCCATTTTGCACACAATAAGCACCAGCACAAAACAGCCGCCGGCCTCGTCTTCCACTCCAGCACCCAGCCCCTCCCTGCTTCCCTTTAAGAGAAGCCTCCTGACTTAAAAACAACCTTCCAGCTTCAGCATTGGCACAGTTCTCCACCCAGTTACATCAACCTAATGGTCCCCCCCCATACATTTCATGCCCAACAGCTAATACAAACTCTTGCAAACCCATTGTTGGGGCTGGCCCCATTTTCAGGGCAGCCCAGGGCTGTCCTTCATTTTGAGCACAGCCCGGCAGATTTCTTTCTTTAATAAAGCTTGAACGGTACCTGGCATCTCAGCTCACTTTCTTTCAGAGAGTTTCAACATCTTGCCCAGGACAAACAGCTCATAAGACAGAGCCAAAAGTGATCCTAAAGACTATGCTTTCCCTACTACCCCATACTGCCAGTGTCTGGGCATAGTGAAAAACTAAGACTCAGATCAGAATGCCTGCAGGGACTCTGAGGAAAGGATGTGCACTGCATCTCCTGCTCTGTGGGCCCTCCCAGAGCAGCCTGAGGTTCAGCACCACTCCCACCAGGATGGGAGAACTTGCTTAGCACAAAATGCCCAGCCTGATGTGTTCAGTCTCTCACTAAGGCCCCTCACTAATGAGCAGGTCTAAAGGGAGCCTCCAGGGGCTGGCTGGTTAGCTCAGCTGGTTAGAGCACAGTGTTGATAACACCAAGGTCAAGGGTTTGGATTCCCATACCAGCCAGCTGCCAAAAATAAATAAATAGATAAATATAAATAAATAAAGGGAGGCTCCAGAATTCAGACAATGGTGGCAAAGCTGGAAGGACAGTTATCCATCCACAGGCCCTGGCCCCTCTCACTCTTAAGCCCTAGTCTTCCACAAATCGACCCAGACATCCCTGTACTCTCCAAACCCACAGAATGGTCTAGAGCTGAGCTTGAGTGCTGCTTTCCAGAATTTGAATAATTCAGGTCCAGCACCTGAGGTGTCAGTTTCAGTTGCTCTGTTCCCATGGGCACAGGTGTCTCAACCCTGTAATTAAGCTAATGAAAAGGGCAAAGGGGGGGGGACCGCTGTCCTGTGCCTCAGGCCCCTAAGGGCTGATAAATGTCCCTGCCCCTTGTTCTACTGAGAGAGCAGCAGGCACACCTAGAGCCAGGTGAGGGGAATGGAGGAAGGAAGTCAGGGGGGCTGAACTAGAAACAGGAGAAAGGAGAGAGTGGAAAGAGGCGGACAGAGGAAGATCACAGTCAGGGAGACAGAGAGACCAAGAAAGAGTTACAGAGGGAAAGACAGAAGAAAATAGAGACAGAGTGAGAGGTAAAGAGGGCAGGGGGCATGCAGAAGGGCAGAGGCAAAGGTCAGCAGAGGCAAGGCCCAGCAGAGAAGGAGAAACAGCAGATGTCAAGGACCAAGTACTAAAACCCCAGGACAGGTCCAAATAGGAGGGTCAGTTAACTGGAAGGGCTACAGTGGTCCCTGGAGAGCAGCTGGACTCACCAGAGATCTGTCTCACTTCTGACTTCCAGGTACTGTCCACACCATCCTTGCCAGCTGGGCCTAATGTTGCCCTAGGTCTGGCCAGGAGGCCTCATGCCCAGAGACCTGCCCCACCTCTTGTTGTAGCAGGACCATGGTACCCAGGGGCCACCACCGCAGCCTGCGCCTTCTGCTCCTGCTCCTGCTCCCCCCAGGTATGAAGCTCAGTAAACCAGCCCTGGCCTCTCCTGGCACTGCTGCTGTTCCTTCCCATCCTCCCCAGATCTGTCTCCACATGGTCTCTCTTACCCTTCTCTTCAGCACCTGTTCTGGGAACAAGCTCTCTATCAGGGGAGGGTGGGGGAAAGGGGTGCAGAAGAGGGTGAGAGGAGATTTGCCAGGCTGGGGTGAAAGCAGTGAGGCGGGAGCTTCCAGAGATAGGGCTGGAAAAGTCAAATCGGCCAGATCATGAAAGGCCTGAAGGCAAGACCAGTGCTTTCTCCGCAGACAATGGGGAGCCCCTGGAAAGTTTTAAGCAGCATACAAGCCTGGTCAGATTCGCATGTTTAAAAGCTTGATCTATCGGAAGAGGAGAGGGTGGTAGGAGAAGGTGAGCCTGAGGCAGGGGAGCTCTGACAAGGCCGCTGCTGCTACTGCTGCTGCCACTATGGTCCAAGTGAAAGAGGGTGGGGCCTGAGCTGGGGAGGTGAGGATGGAGTCAGCCAAATCAGGAGATGCTTAGCAGGGTTTGACAGACCTGACAGGATCTGGAGACTGGTTGGATTGCAGGGGGAGGAGGAGGGAAGGATGATTACCACATTTCTGGCTGAGATCACTGGGGGTGCTGTTTGCTTATATAGAGCATGGGGGGAGGAAGTGAGTTCATATTGGACCTACAAAGTTTAAGGTACCTGTAAGAAACTCAGGAGTGGACTGTGGTATACATGGGATTGGAGCTCAGGAGAAAAATATGGGCTGAAAAAAAAGAAGAGAGCCAAGGACAGGATTTGGGGGAACAATATTTAAAGCAGGGACTGAGGAAAATGTGTGTCATGAAAGCTTACTGAAGAATGTGTTTTCAGAAGGAGGGAATGTCCCTTAGTATCAGAAGCTTTGAAGAAACTATCAAGTACAAATGGAGAAGTAGAAACAGGTTTGAGAGACTGGAGGGGGTGTGGCAATGGGGTTCAGAATGCCCAGGTGACAGTTTGGACTTCTCTGGCCTATCTGGGTCCCTCTAGCACTCTGGCAGGGCAAGTAGAATCCAGGTCCTTGGGAAGGGATGGGAGGGAAGGAATCTGTCAGCCTTGCTCCAGAAGATAGGTATCAATTCACTCTATGGACTTTACCTCATTCACCCCTGGAGGCAGGCCAGGGAGGAATTAAAGCCACAGCTAGAGGGACAGATGGCAGACATCAGGACCACTGGAAAGGCTGTGCGATAGTGGAGCAGGTGACAGTTCCCATCCCTGGGAGTGGAGGGTGTGAGCAGAGGCCCCTGTAATAATGTCATGTACAACCCTTCTTACTGATCCTCCAGAGTGCTTGGGAGCTGAGGGAATGCTGGCTCACAAGCTGTTCCGTGACCTCTTCACAAACTACACACGTGCCCTGAGACCTGTGGCAGACACAGACCAGACTCTGAATGTGACCCTGGACGTGACATTGTCCCAGATCATTGACATGGTGCGTTGTGTGGTACAGCTATGCAGTGTTACCTGTAACAGTGTCAAGGATCGAAGGGGTGAGAGGCAGGAATCATTCTCTATACTCTTTTTCTGTAAACGTTAATATTAACAACAATGATAACAGTTACTAACTGCTGGGTATCCCCCCGCCCAACACTTTGCATACTTTAACTCACTGAATCCCTGTAAAGCAGAGATTATCACCCCATATAACTGCTGAGGAAACTGAGGTCCAGAGAAGAAAAGAACCCACCAAGGTCACACAGCAAGGTCAGGACTGGGTGAGAACTGGACTTATGGGCAAGTTGGCTTTGTGGGTGCTGATCAGAACCCAATAGGTGAGTGTACACAAACGGGAGGGTTTGCATATACATGTATCCACAGCTGTGCCCACTCTCTGCCCCCCATTAGGATGAACGGAACCAGGTGCTGACCTTGTACCTATGGATCCGTCAGGAATGGACAGATGCCTACCTACGATGGGACCCTGATGCCTATGGTGGGCTGGATGCCATCCGCATCCCCAGCAGTCTTGTATGGCGGCCAGACATCGTACTCTATAACAAGTACTG